AATTTTAAATAAAAGCCTATCATCTACCTGTGTCCTATTTAATTTATTTCTTATTTGGCCATTTTAGGACGGAAGTCTGGAAAGGTTAGCTCGTGAAAGTCAACTTTTGGAACAGCATTTCAAACATTTGTTTGATCTGAAGATCGTCAATAATGACATGGAAGACACTATTAAACAACTCAATGTTGGCATTGAAGAACTGCAGTCCCGCCCGCAATGGATACCTGTGACGTGGGTTTACTAGATCTTCATAAATGCCCTATAAACAAGGGGGTCTACGTTACCTTTGGTTTAAAAAAACTATCGTCGTACGTTAAATTAACAGATAATCGTGCACTTGACAATTTCAGGGGAAACACTCCTGATCATTTTTTAATTTGCAAAAATTGGGTCATAATAGAAGACATTACAGATCGTTGTCTACACGTTCGATTGTATTCTTTAGAAAATGCCTTTTAGTTTCTCTGACTTCCATGCTGAGCCGCGTCGCTGTTTCCAATATGAAAGGATTTAGTATGGTCTGACTTTCAGCATATTCCTTTAACGTTCTTTCTATTTTATTAACTTATTAACGACTCTGTAAATATGCATTATTACCGCAAATTTCTTTTGTTAGGTTGTCGTACTGCTCCAATTCCTTGTGCATATTTTCAATTTCTTTGTTAGTTGCCTCATAGAACAGTTTTTCTTCACCATTGTTTTCCGCTACTTCTTTCGCGCGAAAGGCCATGAGGGTCTTTGAAATCGGGACGTCAGGCTTGTTTTAATTAGTTGTTAGGGCTAAGTTGATTTACTTCTTCGGGCTAAGAATCTCATTGGCTTAGCAAATTATTCTGCTAATCTACGATAAACCAGACAATAAAGCGAGAAGATTTTACAGAAAACATAGTTCCCAGTGGCTATTTTGCTCAAATTTGAGGTTTCTGAGCATCTCTGCATATAGTAAGTTTTAGCTGATGAAAGGTTTTGCGGATAGACGATCTGAGCGCAATATCTATTCTTACCTGTCTTTGAACCATGCCGATGTGTTACACGTTGTGGTTTTAGTGCGTTGATTTTCTCACTTAAATCAATCTGCTGCGCTTGAAACTAGCGTGATTCGCTAAAAGCCTTGCCTAGGAGGATTGCCAGCTGACGGGATAAGTTGTACACCGCAGTCGCTCCAGTGTGTCTTGTTGTGTGGTGGGGCTGTCTGCGGGCTGAGAGTCAGATTCAACGGCTCCACCTCAATGTGGCCTTTGTGGCGCTTCCAGTCGACAGCCTACCTGGCAAGATTTGCTGCTTGGTACACGCGTTGACTGTTGATCGCTTCAGACGTGTGCGCCCTCCCTTATCTCCGGCCTTCTTGACTCTCTCTTGACAACCGAGTCCTGGTGTGGAAATTGTCAGCGAGTGAAGTAGCTCTTCAGCACTTCTGCTTTCGCTGTATATCTTACAGAATCCACCGCGTTGCTTCGACTTGTTGAACCGTGGTGGATACGGTCGAAATTGACGGTCGAACTGTCGGTTTGGAAGTTTTCGAACTTGTAGAAAAACTCAGTCCTCTAAGGACTGATAATCAGGCCGCATCACCTTCTATTTATTACGGTTTCTCAGATCGGATCCCAGTTGCCATTTTTAAACTTCCAGATGCTGTTCGACAGTACGGGTACTAGGTCTTCAACGACACCTCTTTATCTTTTGTTTAGCCTTATCAGCTATAGTGTATTAACGCCGATTACGC